TATCTTTCTTTCCCTATCTTTCTTTCCCTGTCAGGTTTGGTTTCCTCCTCCCTTTCTTTACCTCTTTGCCTTTTGGCTGCGTGCAAGTGGGTCCCTTGCGACACACGGGGATGGGGGCAGCCAGCGCTCAACCTGTCATCCACGTGGCTGGCCTTGTACGTAAGAGGTTATGAACAGGTGGAGCTTTCCTTACCTCTTCCCCCTCCCCCTTTTTTCCTTTTCCTTTTTTCTTTCCCCTTTTTTGCGCTCTGATTCACAATGTGACAATATATCGTCAAACAGATATATATCGTCAAACAGTGTGACAATATATATATCGTCAAACAGGGGCGGTGCTTTTATGTGGGAATCATCATCTAGGATTTTTTTTTATGATTTTTTTTTATAATGTCCCGGCACGAATTGCTTACGAATTTTTTTTCATGCCTTTTCTTTTATGATGCCGAATCGGGATACCAACTTCTTGATGTCGAACAAGGCCATCTGCTGTGTATAGATAGTATGTACCTGGGATTCCTTTTTTTGATTTCTTTGCAGACAAGAATGTTTTGACATCCTGGTTGGTCTTGTCCCGTCGTTTGGCCTGTGTCGGACTGGGGCGGTGCTTGCATGTGGGACTTGTCATCTGGGATCTGTTTTGTTGACCCCTGTTCTGTTTTATTTGGCTGTGATATGACACACGGGGGTGGGGGCAGCCGCCGCTCAACCACATCCACGTGGGCGGCGGCTGCCCCCACCGCTCTGAACAGGGGGAGTCTTGTAAGGAAGAAGATACAAAAACGAATTCATTTTTTTTTTCTTTTTCTTTTTTTCGCTTTTGCGCTCTGATATTCATGTGACAATATATATGTACATTTTTTTGGATATTGGTTTCCTCTCTCTCAGATTTCTCCCCCCCCCCCTCTCCTTGCTTCGGTTTTCTGGTGGATGCATTTTATTATTGTTTCCCCCCCCGGTTCTCCTTAGGCATGCTCTGCTGCAATCATCACGGCATTTTTTTTCTTTCTACTCCTTTGGGCATCTCTTTTTTTTTTTTTTTTTTTTTTTTTGGCATCTAACTTTGACGTTCCTGGCCGCAATTTCGCCGCTTTTTTTAAAACCTTTTTGGCATCTTAACCTTTTTTGTAAAAAAAATAAAAAAAAATGAAAAAAAATAAAAAATTCGCCGCTTTTTTGAAAACCGAACCCTTTTTTTTTGTTTTTGGGCGGGGGGGAGGAGGGGGGAGGGGACGAATCGGAAATCGTCAGATCCTACTGGCGGGAACCAGGTAAGCCCTGACGATTTCGGTTCAGAAATTGCCGAAATTGAGGCCAGGAACATCCAAGCTGATTGCCCCAAAAAGCAAGTTGTTGTTTATTTATGCGGCCGTCAAAGGTTATTTAGATCGAAGTTAGATTTCACAAAAGTTTAATATCTGATCCGTGAAAAAAGAAAAAAGAAAAAAAGAACAAGAGTTGTTGAAATCAATTGATCCCCCAGGGTTGGGGAATGTCAGGGCAGCGGTCAGGATGCGGCCAACTCTGCCTCTGGACTATAATCCCCAACGCCTGCACCATAAACTGGGTAATGGTCCGAGAGTGACTTTTTCCGGGTTGAATGTGGACGGATTCCCGGCCTCCTTCTTGTTCACTTTCTAATGAATTGCGAAGTTGGTTTGTAAAAAAAAAAAAAAAAAAAAAAAAAACAATTGAT